CTCCTGTCGCAGAGGACAGTACGACTTTACCTCCAGGCCGCCTCGTAGCACGATTACTCGTAGTACGGGGTCTCGCTGCTCTTGGTCTGGCTGCTCCCCTTTGGCCTTCCTGGCATGGTTGAACCTTGTGGAACGAAGTTTCAGCCAGTGTAGCCCGCGGGATCATTGCAGCACTGAAGCCCGACCACCACGTCAAGGTGGCAGCTTTAGGTCGGGGGGTTGGATTCACTCCCAACGTACACTACTGGTTTTCAGGTGTACGCAAAACACGCACACCTCGTTTAGTTATTGATAAACTAGTGGACCAAGAAGTCAAGCGAAACTATCAGAACCAGCTCCTCAAATACCTGTCGGACGGTACGATGGCGGATATAAAGGGTCATCGGAAAAAGATATCCAAAGCGCTACTCACAACGTCTGTTTGCGGTACAATCCAGCCAAACTCATCCAAACATTGAATCTCTGATAAGACCGTGTCTTTCCTAAAGACCCGACGACAGATTCCTCCTGGCCGCCACCACAACTCCACCTGACGTATTATTCAACACCAAGTGAAGCTGAGTGTTCGTGCAGACCGAGAAGCTTGATGGACCCTAAAAGCCGAAGAAATGGAAGATGCAAAGAGTGCTGGAAACGTCCACAAGCTGTTCCACTTGATTCCTTCGACTGGTCTTCGTAAACCTCTTGAAAGCGGAATAATCAAGAAACAAAATGGCTCCTTGATATGCAACGTTTGGATAGCTGGGTACAGTACTTCGAACAGCAATTCAGCTGGCCACCCGCTATCTCCAATCCAGCACCCTGGCCTTCAACATAAAGGTGGACTGTGATTATGGAGCCGCCTTCAGTCTCAGAAGTGTCCGAGTGTACTCTACTCAAGGGTCCTGACGATCTTCCACATGCTCTTTTCAAGGATGGCCGTGGGCTTCTCAGCCAGTGCCCATCTGGACTATTTGGGTCTGTCTGATAGAAAGAGACAGTCCCAGACAACTGGGGTGGATTGATAGTAGTGCCCATTTTCAAAAAGGATGCAGTGAATGTAGTAACCACAGAGGTGTTAGTCTGATTCCTGTCGTGACAAGGCTTCTGGCGTCACTGATTCTTCGTCGTTTTACGGTGGCAGGCGAAACAATGACTCGTGAGACTCAAGTATGATTTTGATTGGGTAGAGGCTGCGCTGACCACATCTTCACACTCCATCAGGTGTTAGAGTAACGCCACACGCACAGAAGACCTACAATCTTGGTATTCCTTGACTTCAAGGTTTCGTTCGATTTTGTCGATCAGTCAGTGCTGTTAGGGGCGAGATAGCTCAGTGGTTGGAGCGCGAATTCACTGACCAGAAGGTCCGTGGTTCGAACCCGACCTTTGCTTCTCGACTTCTCTCTAGGCTTGGGCGGCCTGGCAGTATCCCAGCCCTCGTTCTTCCTTTAGGTTGCGTGGCTGTTAGGCACCGAAAGGATGCTACAGTTGAACGATTTTCAGTGCTTCTAACTACACTTGCTCAGCAGGGTATGCTCCAGAAGTTTGTGAACATAATCTGATCCCTATATTCACACACTTCCGGGCGGGTGAAAGTGTACGCTGAGCTCTCCAAAAACTTCCCTACAAAAAGTGGTGCCCTCCAAAAATGTCCACTCTCCCCATTCTTGTCTAACTTCATCGCTAATGAATTAATGAGGCAACGCTGGAAGGTTTTCAGAACCCAGGTGTTCAAATTGTTGCTGGTGAGAGGCTTTTCAGTTTAGAGTACGCAGATAACATCGCCCTCATCTTTGAAGACCAAAGCGAATGTCTGATAAATTCGGTGTCAGAATCTCAAAGGCTCGAATCACATTTTCTAATTTGCGTCACTTGTAGCGTCAAAAAGACGAGACATGGCCTCTGCGAACAGATGATGTGAAGCGTCTTCAGGTCTTTGACCACCGATGCCTCAGAAGCGTGGCTTGTTTTGGATGGCGTCAGTGTGTTAGTAACGAGGTGATTAGAAGACAGGTATTTGGTTGTGTGGTAGATACTTCAATCGGGAGAGACATCCAACCACCGGCTACGATGACTCGGTCATGTGCTACACATGCCGGAATACCGTTTACCGAGAAGCGTTCAGCTGTCGCACCCTTCCGGTGCCTAGCTGCCATGCCACTCGAAGGAAGCACGAGGGCTGGGATACTGCCAGGTTGCCCAAGCCTAGACAGGGGAAGTCGACTGGCGGAGGTCGGATTCGAACCACGGACCTTGCGGTCAGTAAATTCGCGCTCTAACCACTTGGGCCGTCTCGCCCGTCTCGTATCTTCTTTGGAATGGCGCGAACCGCGAAGTGCACAACGCATTACTTGGCAGAATGGTGTGAGAGAACACGAAGAGTTTGGGTTTTGTTGGTGTTGTGCGTCTTCCAGAATGGGAGCTGACCCCGCCTGTGCTTGGCCGGAGACGTTGCAAGAAATGGCGGCCAATTGATGTCAGTGACGTTCGTACTGTCAGTTTCTTTCCAGATTGTTCGATTGAGCGGTTAGAGGTCTAGGCCAGAACTAGGTCCCCTCCCCGACGCACTCTTCTTTTCACTCAGCTGGAAGAACCCAGCGGGCCTAAATGGAGCGTTCGACACCAGCCCTCCGTCGCAAAGCAGGAATCCAGCTTAAGGATTAATCCTTCAACGTGACAGGGCACCCGGCCTGGACGGTCTGCACCCCTCACTCTTTGAAGAAGACGTTGAGGTCATGGTGAACGACCATGGTGACGACCATTCTTTTGGAGATTTAGCACGAAAACAATACCAGTGGAATGGAGTTCCTCGACCGTCAACCCAGTCTTCAGAAAGGGTGCAAAAACGTCATGCGAAAACCATCTTGGTGTCAGCTTGATATCCGTCAGATCTAAAGGGCTCTCTAGCATTATTTCATTTAGGTTGATCGATTGTCGTGAGCGACAGATTCGTAAGAATCAAGCTGGGTTTCGCCCTGATCAGGGATACATCGACCATATCTTGACATGCAAGTTCCTAAGCAAAACCACTCCTTCAAACGTCCCACGTTGGTCGGTTTTTGGATCCGAAAGCTGCTTTTGACTCTGCCAATGGTTGGGAACTTTGGTGGTGTAGGGCTTTCACTGGTGTCCCTTTCATGTTCATATCCCTTATGAGAGAATTGTTTGCGATCTTCGAACGGATACGGGTATACGGCAAACTTTCACCTGAGTTTACGTCCAATGACGTAAGACAACACTGCTCTCTTTCACCTTTCCTCTTCAACTTTGTTATTGATATGCTGTTTGAGATTTCCCTGCCTGCCTGTGAGATCTCGGTGGTCAGGATGCTCCCGGAACGTTTGCCTACAGTATTTGAACGATATCTTTGTTAGTGGTTCAGGTCCTTCAAAAATGCAAGCCATTTTAAGTAAACTAAGTAATCATGCCGAACGGTTTGGCATGCACTTCGAAGTTGCAAAATGTAAAGTGCTGCTACAATATTGGGTGGAACCAAGCCCAAAACTCGTGCTTGCAGGCGAGTCATTCGTCGCCATCATCATCATCATCATCGACAGCGTGACGTCAGTGCTCAACACTGATGCTTCGCTGCCTTAACTAGCCATTCAACGTGCTAGATAAGTTTGTTTACCGAGGTAGTTGTATAAGTTCCGGTAGACTGTCTGGACATGATATTACTTCTCGATTCAGGGAGTTCAGACAGTTTTTGCCAGCCTCCAATAAGTGGCGCTGATGTGACGTGAGTTTGTCTGTCAAGGGAAGAGTTTACACTGCGGTCGTCCGATCCATACTGCTTTAGGGATCAGAAACGTGGACTCCACACGCTGAGGACATACGAAAACTGTCAGTGCTTGACCATCGATGTTCCCGCAGCATGGGCCGGTCTAGTAGGAACACGGGATTGTAATGCTGGGGTACGCCAGATGGCCTTAAGAAAAATGAGTTCCCCCCCACGGTAGATGAATTACTTAGGCTTCATAGATTCCGCTGGTTAGGACATGTACTCTGTATTCCAGAAGAACATTTGCCTTACCAAACCATTTCCACCCTGCTCTGTTCCGAGTAGAATTGACCGAGAAATGGACAGTGCATAACCCGAGAACCAAGTATGAAAATCCTAACCAGTAAACTTTGTCGACAGCTGCCGCCTTCCTGGGTGGGGACCCCGAGACTCAACTCACCAGTGTTTAATGACATGCAGAAATGGTCCAATCGCGCAGTCAGTGACGCCCGTGTATCAAAACTGTTGCCTTTCAGTATTCATGAGATTTCATTATTGGTTTGTACTTTCGTTTATTGTTTATTATGTGAAGTGAGCTGCAGTTGACAGGATTGTTGGGAGGGGTACCAGTCCACACAAATCGCCTTATCCATTTATATCTGGTGGGATATTTGTGGTGAATTGTATACCTGATTTGATTTCAAGGAAGATCATAAAAGTCAATCGTGACATCAGAACTAGTAAATCCACATCCACTGTTTCATATACAGACTTTCTGAAGGCCCATAATCATCCGGGTTCGTATGATACTTTCCTGCACTCAGGGTTGATCACCCCACTTACAAACGACAGTCTCATCTCACCCAAAATTATCTGACTTTGTACTTCTATCTCTTTGGATCACACGGATAGAATCGGTTGAAGAAACCGTCCGGTTGTCTCGATCATCATGCTGAGGCTGGTATGGTTGTACAGTTACTTTATTTTACTGGACTGAGGTACTGCTCCAACAATGGCTAAGCACGACACGTACCTGCTATCCGGACAGTTTGACCGATATTAGGTAGGTACGCTCAGTGTATCCGCCTTTCCCAACACGAGTACACGCCTTCCACCGTTGTGGACACTTATTCGTTGCTATTATGAGCACAGGTCAGCATGACACCGATCCAGTATATCAGATTTTGTTTTTGACCCAGCGAGCACAGGCTTTCTTGTTTTGTTCCGTCTAGGGTCGTTAACGCGCGAACTTTCCGGAAGGTCCTTGGTTTAAACCCGACACCTGCATCTCGACTGCTCCTATCTTGGGTTGGGTAACCTGGCAATATATCAGCCCACATGCTCTCATCGGGTGGAATGGCAGCTAGGCCTTGGAAGGGTGCTAAATCTGAACCATGTTTTTTAGGATAGTCGCCTGGTAAACATTCCTAATTAACTACCGACGTGTTGAGACGGTGTCGATCGACCGGTGTGATTGAACACCATATCTTGGTTTTGGTCCCACTAGCTTCCTTACTTCCACTCGAGTGTCCTATGTGTAAAACAGTAAAGTAAAACAGTTAAACCTCATCCAGTTGGTTTGTTTTATAGGATGAGAACCGATCAGGGGACCATGTACACCACCAACGCGATGAACTTTTCTGCTATAGATGTTATTCGTCCTCTTGAAGTCATAATTCCATCATGCGAAGTCGAAAGAGCAGAATGCCTGGTTTCCTCACGGTCATGTGACACCCGAGCGCTACTGTTTAGTGCTGTTACATCTGCTTGGAGATCGATCTCCACAGCAGCAGCCGACCTTACCTACGCCTGTAGGAGAGCGATTCAGATAACACTTGAGAAGAAGTGTCATCGGTCGGTTTGACCACGGGTAGTAACTATCGAAATTGATCGTTGTCTCAAAACAATAGTCTTGCAATGCATTGCCTCAAACGTGTATTAGGGTTCGATAGCGGACATGAGGTCTGAAATTCCAATGGCAGTTGCTTAATGAGTGTGGAATCAATAATGCTCGGGAAAACTCACATATATTCAGTGACCTACACTAGGATTTGATGCAGCGTGTGCGGGTAATATGACATTAGTAGCTTTTTTGCTGGTTTCAAACGGTATGACCTTGTCACAGGTGTAACGATGACAAAAATGGGTCGGATTAGAGGAGGAGTATTAGCATATCAGCATAAATGGTGTACCGAATAATTCAGTGGTAACGAAAGTTTTTTTTAAGTTGCATATTGGAATTGAAATAAAACAGGATAGAAAAATGGATGCATCATGAGTACATATTTTTGTATCTAGAGCTCCATCCATACGCGCGATTGGTTTGCAGAACACTATCGTGACGTGTGACGTAACAGAGTTTATTCGGTCTGTAGCAGACAGCAGTGTCCGTACGGAGGCGATAATGGAAAAGGTTGTACATGCACAAACGAGTATTGGGCATTTTCCGATGTGAGTGATGTTCAACCCGAGTCCACTGACGGTTGCGAGTTTGTGTTATATACTGAGGGATGTAGGTCTCGCATAGCAGCCACAACTCCATTGACCATCGCAACAGCAATTCAAGTGGTTACCTACGATTACCCAGCCGGATTCTCGACCCTCAGACATCGATATTAAAGTTGGAACCTCAGGCGACTTCATAAATAAACGAATGCCTCTTGTCCTTCAAGCGTCACTGAGCTGCTGGTCCTGACGAGCTCCCTCCGCTCTTCTAAAAGACAGAAGTGAAATCCTCTGGCGATGCTGAATTGTTTGGCAAGTTAGGTCGATAATGCTGCCCGCTTGAAAATGTTGCACGTAGTGAATGTCGCAACCGCAGGGAAGTACGCTTGACCACCGTCGTCCTACAAAGACGCTTGAAAACGAGACCCGGGAACAGCAACTGTTATTCCTGTCAGAAAGGAGCTGTTTGGACTATATCTACACACCGTCAAGTTTTAAAGCGACAATGTGCACTCTACTGGCCCAAGTGGTTAGAGCGCGAATTTACTGACCGCAAGGTCCGTGGTTCGAATCCGACCTCCGCCAGTCGACTTCCCCTGTCTAGGCTTGGGCAACCTGGCAGTATCCTAGCCCTCGTGCTTCCTTCGAGTGGCATGGCAGCTAGGCACCGGAAGGATGCTACAACTGAACGCTTTCTTTCTTTCTAAAAGGTGCATTCGATCCTGTCACTCGGTTAATCTTTCTTAATACGCTTGTGCGACAAGGTATGCCTCAGAAGTTCGTGAATATGATACACTGGTTGTATTCACATGATTGTGGGTGAGCGTTAGTGTATGTGAAGTTATTCAAAGGGTTCCCTACAAACAGTGGTGTCCAGCAAAAATGCTTACTCCAATTTTATTCAGTTTCACCATTGATCTGGTACCGAGACGAATTCCGATGGGTTTTCAAGACCTCCGTGTTCAGATACCTCTGAGAAGCTGGAGTATGCAGATGACATTCTCCTCTTGCTCATTTTGAAGACGAGCAGAAAGCGCAAACACTTTTAGCAATCTGACCAAAGTCATTCAACCATTTGGTGTGTACTTTGCATTCGAATTGCAAAATCATGTTGCGGGTAGCACAGTTTTTCATCATGCAAGAAGTTTCCGAATCAAGGACTGTACTCAGTACCATGAGCAAGATGGTTGGGTCGTATGTTACGCATGTCGGGTTGCCGTATGCCTTGCTCAATTCCGAGTAGCGGAAAACCAGAGGTGGACAAAATTTGACGTGGCAGAAGGGAGTAGAAGATGGTACGAAAAGTTTGGATTCAGTTGGTTCTGTTCGCCTGCCAAGTTAGAGCTCGCGTGACCCACCATGTGTATGGTCAGTGACACTGAACGATCTGGCGGCTAACCAATGTTAGTAACGTTCATGCTGTCAATTTCTATCCAGCTTGACTGACTGAGTGTTGTAGGTGCAAGCATCCCATTTTTTTCATCCCATCACAAGGCTTTATCCAAACACATTGATGTGTTTGTGTGACAGTGAAGCACCAGTTTTCTCATTTGGTGTTGCTGTTGATCATGATACATTGGTTGTCTACAATAAATGAAAAAGGAGGCTACAGTTCAACTGAACGCATGGTGAAAGAAACTATAGGATTTTCATTTTCTTCCATTCCCTTATAGGCCCTGTCAAACCGGATTATTTCGCATCTCCCGAGAGCTGTTGGTCGCTTGTACCGTGTTGCTCATTACAGTGTTGCAACGGACAGATCCCTATACAAGGTATTCGGCGTGAATAGAGATGCAACACATCAGGAAATCAAAGAAGCATTCTACAGATTATCCAAGCTTTATCATCCTGATGTCACAAATGAGCCCCATGCTCGTGCCAAGTTCCAGGAACTTGCCAGGGCATACGAAGTTCTTGGAAACCCATCAAAGAGGAAAGAGTACGATCGTGGTTTAATTCGGCCATCGTCGTCGTCTGTCTCTCCCGATGGTACTGTTGCCGCAGACATCGACACGGAGTCCATTCGCAGTTCTACTACGGATAGTTTCTCGGCTTTCTACGTGAAGCAGTATAACCGCGTCCTCAATGAAGATTGGCTACGGAAATCTGATCCGCAACTAATCAAAACGGCCATTGAATACAAACAGGATGAACGTAACTTCATACTAACATTCTACGCCACATTTGCAGTCACTCTTACTCTTGTCTTTGCTTACCTAAAGCTAACTGAGAAACCAATTGAACTTCTCGATCTTTCAGCGTCCGATAAATCCAAGCACTAGGTTTCTGATTAACATCCATGATATGAGTAGATAGTGCAAAACAAACCCGTGTCTGTAGTCTTTTCGGTTCTTTGTTCTCGTGAATTATATTGCTGGACCGGGCCTTCCGTTTTTTCCCACCTAAGCGAATGAAACACTTACATTACGGTTATGGAAGAATGGGTTGATTTCTATATGCGGGAAGTTATCCGGTGTTTTACTAAATACCTTCATAGTGCAAAAATACGTTTCGAAATGTCCTCTCATGGGTTGTTCGACGCCACATCACGAGTGGCACTGACTCGCTTTAGGCAGATTTGGAAAGTGGAACTAAATTCCCTAGTGCAGTAGTCAAACTATAGGATAGTCTCATTTCGGTATTCGTTATTTATGCCATTTATATACGACTGAGGTCAATGAATTCACCTTGTAACTCTTCCGAACTTCCCTTGATCCGTTGGTTGGTGGTCGATGGCATTTCCATCTGATCTAATCGGTCCCGTAACCAATGTCGTGTTAACTTCAAGACAACGAGACCGAACACCCAGCTACTGACCAGCAGTGAGTCATGTCAAATAATCCGAGGCGTGTGGTCGATTCTGTTGCTGGTATCTGCCAGATTCTCCGTGTTTATGGTTACAAGTAGTCAACAGCCATAGCCTTTCGGGTTTCAGAAGATTAGAAAGTTTAAAGAGCAAATCACTGATTCCCTGAACGTGGACGTAACAAGGAACCTGTCAATACATGTGGTATGAACGGCCGAAACTAAACAATGAACAAAGACAATCTAGAGGTAACTAGAAGCAGGCTGGATGTGTTCCTGTTCGTAATTACTCGAGATGGCTCGGTGGTTAAGGTGTGAGCTTACTAACCTGAATGTCCTTGGTTCGAACCCGACATCCACACCTCGACTGTTCCTGTCTAGGCTTGGGCAGCATGGCAATATCTCAGCCCTCATACTCTCTTCGGGTGGCTCGGCAGCTAAGCACCGAAAGGGTGCTACGGCTGAACCATCATTATTCATTTATTGAATTGCTAATCTGCCTGTCTTAGATCCAAATTTCAAAGCTTTGGAAACCTGTTTATTTTCACTTTTGGTCGTCCGTATTCCAGTCGACCATCAAAGGAAGGCACCACCAAAACAAAGACCACTCGCTAGTTCGACACACCCTTCTGACAGTTGACACGTGTCGTCAGCTTTATTTTCCTGCTCATTCATTGTATGGTGTTGGATTTATATGGGCCTAAAGGCCCAGGGCACCAACATCCACATATAATACGATGGGTTACAGTGTAATTTTGACTTTTTTCAGGGCATTGTCATACAGGAACAGCGTATACTGAATTACCCGGTCCACTATAGTTTGTTTTCAGGTCCCGGAACCGGCTGTGGGAATTGGGTGCTTTATGACATGGATGTAAGGCACAACCCATACGAATCTTATCACGAACTTTCTTTAGGTACGTATTATGGGGTATAACCACTTGACCTAAGCTGTTGATCGGAATCCCAAGTCAGGAAACCAGGAAGCAAAATGGAGACGTGAATATGAATCCGTACAGTTTCTGTTAGCTGACGTAATTCTAACAGTACATCCGGTGTGACCAGCCACACATATCCAGTGATTCGTGATCACCTATTTTAACACCTATTACCACTCAAGCGAGGTCAATTAACGCTCCACTTGGAAATATGGTGAAGCTTATTGAGGTAGTCTAAAAGCATGAATCACCTGGAGCTGACTTAACTCCTTTGGATATCAACAGAACGCAAATGTTGAACACCATAAAAGTGAAAAATCTTATAGGAACTCAGTGAAACGACGGTAAAAGCAGGTGATTGTCAATGGGTAGCGTTCTACTGACAGTATCACAGGTTACTTGTTTTTACTCACAGTGGAGACCTGTTTTCTACCATTCCAAATAGCTCGCTTGAAACTTATGGGTTCACGGTATTTGTCCCCGCCGATGAGTGTATCGTGGCCACAGATGAGACATGTGAAGCACGTTTTGATGTGGCGAGATGGCTCAGTGTTTAGAGTGCGAATTTCCGTGGTTCGAACTTGGTCTCTGCATCTCGACTTCCCCTCTATAGGTGTGGGCGACCTGGCAGTATCCCAGCCCTCGTGCTTCCTTCGGGTGGTATGGCAGTTAGGCACTGAAAGGGCGCTACAGCGATTTTTTCGATACGGCATCTCTTGGACTAACAGATCTCTGTAAATAGTTCGAGTTCATCTGTGGTCTCCTTGGGGGGACCAGTAAATCATCTAACTACTGCATGGGAACGACACTATATCTACTTTGTTATGGCGGAATGAATGACAGGACGTGCAAAACAAAGACTGCTTGTTTCGTGAGGAACTTGACTTGAATTTTCCAAAGGCCACCTCCAAGCGATAACCCTCTTTGCTTTCCTTCATTTTGGTTTTCTTATGGGAAATCCAACAGTCTGTAGTTTACAAGGAGCGTGGGGAACGAAATTTGACTATAAGGTCTGAGTGCAAACGGTACTGCTTGTGTGTTAGCTGGTAGTGAATAGTCATTAGTTGGAAGCGAGGCACAATAACCGGATTCTCGTAATGTTGCTCCGAGTAGGTGTGTCAGAAACGACTGGCAGTAAACTAATCCCAGAATGCACAGCTCGAGTGGCAGCTCATCTTCACGAGAGACTTTGTTTCTTGAAATTGGAAACGACCTGGAAAATTTCTTTGGTAGATTTAGGGGAACGGGTCATAAAGCACACTGGATGGGTACAGTTAATAGGTTATGATCTGCTTCATTTTATGCCAGCGCTTGACCTGACTGCAACAGTTGGTGGTGAACGTCCTGTCAAGCTCGGAGGTTCCGAAGTTTGACCGCTCCTAGTGAGTAGAAGAAGTGACGAGTGTCGCCAGTATTACAGGCACACTCCATTTCTTTGGCTCGTTTGTTCCACAAAAGCTCCGTGTCTTTCTTCAAGGTTTCTTAAATTTGAAGTTTGGCTGTTAGATGTGCTCGATTGTGCGAAATATCAACTAAAGTTGTGACAAAGGTCCAGAAATTGGTTTTACTCCAAGGAGTTCCAAAGCATTTGTTTCCGGTTTTTCGCTCCTCACCTCCCGACTCCAACACAATGTGAATCGAGTTTGACCAGGGTTAATTGCCACATGCGAAATAGGGTTGTGCCAAGTTGGAGGAGATCCCAGACTGCAATTTCATAGATTATCTGGCCCTTGTTGATATCGTTGCGTTGATTTCACGTGACTGATGTGTGATGTCCACAAGAACACATGTTCTTGTTTCTTTTTTGTACCACTACACGATCCGAGATGACCCGGTAGGAACCACACCATCGGCGGTCGACCGCCAGATAATCTATCTGGGTTCAGTGGTGGAGTGCGGATGGTCAGTCCCAGGTAGCAAGATGTCGTCCACAGTATCGGCCATTGGAGCTGTTGCTTAAACCTAGAGGCCGTTCATCGTTATTAGGACTTGTTTTTCCATATCCAGGAGAACCCTAGTGTATTTTTAACGAGGAGTGTAATGAATCAGCATGCGAATTTATGCCTTTGGCCTATATAATCATATCAGACTCGTACATCTGAATACATTGTTGACTGCGGTAGAACTATAGTCAGTTGGTGCGTGTACCGAAATGACGAACGGAGTTACTGTTCCGGCTATCTTAGGATTTTTAGATGACTGTTGCTGGGTAGCAGCGCGCTATCGGCGCTCCGATTGGGTCAATTGGTACGGCCACTGAATCTCCAGATGTTTGTGAAGTCCGGAACTCGGTGTTTTGAGTACACACTATATTGGGATGTCTTCGAGAGACAAAATACATAGATGTTCATATTTTGAGATATAGAGTTTTGCTTATGCAAACGATAAAGCAAGTGAGAGTAAGGCGTTCAGCTGGGTCAATTAATGGTTGTTGGTGAATGGGGACAACGCAGGACACTTGTTTCCGCCCCTTACTTTGGCGACAGACCTGTACCATGAGAGTGTACGGAATAGGAGTTCCTCTGTAAGTCCTCAGAGGAACATAATTTGTGGGCGTTTCGAAAGGTGCAAGGATTGTCTGTTCTGGAAACACCCACTCCCGACCAAACGGCGACATTGGAGGCTGCTTAGCCAAACCATTTCGAATAAGCTCGTTAATTCTGCCACATTTTTTAATTGCGCTTCATACCATCCCTGTGTACGGTGCTTCTGTAAGCCTGACTGGTAGATAAATTCTTTCATCTGGGCTGTCGTGTAATTCACAACGGACTGATGGAGGACAACGTCACTGTTGGAGTTACGAAGGTCAGTGCAGATTTCTCTGTCTAACAACTATGGGCATGACTCCAGCCTGTACGTCAGTGACAGAATATCCAGTTGTATTTAGTTGAACCTTCCATTAGTTGGGATTGGTCCGGAGAAGAATTCTTTCGCCCACTCGTGTAGTTGGTCCCTAGAGGGAGGTAACTAGAACAGCTCTGTATTGTACCGAAGAATATCACTTTACGAGACCTAGAACCATCAAACTTGACTTCCATGCAGTTAGCCGGAGAAGCATTTGGCACCGTAACACAGGGAGGCCGAGTTTCCCTCTGTTTTTTGTTGAAAGCTGGGTATTCTCCACCGAAGGGTATCAGTTTCAAGCAAAGGTCGAAGGAAGTGGTTTTAGCTAAGAATGCGGTTCCTCTTATGGGCACTGTTATGTCCCTTATAACCAATAGTGCACAAGGATTAGTGCTGTAGCGGGCCTTTCCGCAATCCGATGCAATCTTACCCGCTCATACAACCATTGCCCACTCACCCGCTCCCGACTGAGACAACAAGCACTCTGGTAAAACAGTTCGTATAGTTTCGGCAACAGTTGAATTACGTATCATTAAGGAGAAAATTTGAATCGATGGCGGCTTTCTGTGTGCGCCTTGATGTTTTCTATATATTCATGTTGATTTTCCCAAGGCTAACACCTTTCCCACTTGTGTAAATTATCCGTAGTTGATCTGGCGTTTCTGGGTCCCGAAATACCGCACCGCTGTACACCCCATTGTCTAGATGCGTCACCTCCGCGATGACCTAAAACAGAGACGGAATAATGTAGTTTTCATCTCATTAAGGTTCCACTGAGCATACTCTGGGAGTGCTTGGGAAGCAACGTGTGAAGCAGGATAAAATTGTCGTTAACATCAAGTCATTATGAAGGCAATTTCCAGAGCAGTTCCTAACAAGGAGAATCCCTGAGAACGGTCGCCTATTTCTGTCTCAGTCTTCCAATGGACGGAAATAACTGGTGGGACACGAGGTGTTTATCGGTTAGCATCTGATTTCAGAGGATTATCTTTGAGTGCTGCTTGCTATCCGGTCTTTACCCGAGTTCCTCCCTACCCAAGTCCCGAAATTCTGGCACAGCTCTCCATTGGACCATTTGAGTTATTGACAAAATCACTCGTTGCACTGACGTCCCTTTAAACAAACAACTTAGCTGGTTATGATAAAGTATATAGATGGAAACATGTTAAAGAGTCTAGTACCAAAATCTTTAGTGACCTCATTTACCGAAACAAGCACCAAAAATGTTAGCCATCACATGTTAGAGAAGACGATCGGTGGCTCACTGTGAAGATCCTATCCCATCGAAACTCATCAACTCATCGTTTTAGCCTAAAACCGTGGAGAGTACCGGAAAGCAGTTACTGCTCTGGTTAGTGTTCAGAAATGTTAGGTAAGTCACTGGCTTTTCTCGTCAGTTAATTTTCAACTTCAGTGTTGAAGTTTCAGTGTTGTTGGACAACACAGTAGTCACAGAAGGAAATATTTGACAGATATCGAAGTTGATCAAATGAGCGGACTGTAGAGCGACTTAGACTTCGTAGAAAGATGCACTTCGACAAAGAGTGCGCATTTCAAAAATGGGTAACCACGTGGATAATTGTTCGATCACGGTAAAAGACTGTGCTTGACATCAGAGATGATGAACACGTGAGGAAAGAAACGGAGAAAAGAAGCACTTGTTCATCAAATGGCAATACACGAGAAGACAAAAAATTGACTCTCTGGATAGATGAAAGTGTGTCACCTTTTTCCGAAACGTTTTGTTATGGTGAATGGAAACGCATGTTAAATGCACCATGGTACGGTGGCTGTGCTTTCTTTTCTGGTTCCCTACCCACCAGCTCTGAATTCTATTGATAGCGTCTGGAGCCAAGCAAAACGATTCATCGAGACGAAGGCGCGACGGAAGTACGTATAACTCACTTCAGATGATCTACAGAGTGTACTCGCATAATTGAGTGGCTTCTGGGTGGATTGCAACGGGCGGCCGAAGAATGCAAGTTCACGAATACACCAAAAGCAGTGCTAGCATAGTGACGTTCGGTCCAATAATGGTCTTTCCACTAAGAAGCCACCTGACTGTCGACGTATGGCTATAAAACACGTGGGACGGTGAATGGGATGACAAAGTTTAAATTAATCGACTACACCTCTTCCTTCGAAACCTGTTTGAACGGTTGCTTCCAACTCGAGTGACAGGATTTGCCATTCAAAAGTGGTTGAAGGCTCACGATGGATCAAATTAGCTAGTGCCTGTGACCCTCCAAGTTTAATGAAATCCCGAAGAAGTAAGGTCAATGACCAAACTTACAGACGCTCTTTAAGATCCATCACGATGGCACTACAGTTAGCATTGGTTCCAAAATTGGGCACTGGTATCACCCGTCAATTCTCTTGTGTTTCAGTAAAATGTCACAATTTTTCCGCAACATGACATGATACCATGCGGGTTGGGCGTCTCAAAGATGGACCACTTTAAATGTAATCGAGAACTATGCGGTACAGATGCAGTAGTGACCTAGTTTCATTATTACAAATTTGAGCACTCTAATCTCAGATTGCCTGCTGGTGACTCGCTATCAGTAGAACATGGGAGTACCTGTCTCCCACAAGTCCGATTCCGCCTTTGGAAAATTAACTGTTTTAGTTCTATAAAATAAAAGTTGTAGCCCAATAATGATGCTATACTCAGTAAGATAACCCTAAAATGATCTCTTAGGTTACAACAGGAATTACTGCTTTATTTTGTAAGCGCGTTTGGGATAAACGTTTTCGTTTTCCAAACCAAATGTAATCGATATAATTAGGAAAAGTTAGCGACTTTAGGCTGAGCTTGACCACTTTAATGGACTGGTACTACGGGGAATGCATATCCCTGGTTGAAAGCGAGCACGCCGTTAGCTGTTGCCCAGACGTTGCGGGACCTACTGCGAAGGATCCACTTGATTATTAACCAGTAAGTCATCCAAATGCTAAACCGATGTACTTTATTTCCTTGCTACCACAGACCTGCATGAATCGATGGCGACCTCCAGAGTGATGCTGTCACCATTACACTCCGTCTATCCACAAATGTTTCCCAGCTGGTTTCGAACTTACAGGTTGATAGAGTACTTTTCCGAAGTGCTCACCAGCATGGTATCTGTACAAGAGTATGCTTCTATAACAACAGACCATCAGTATCTCCAGAGTTTTCTGAGTTCTCTTAACAGAAGTTCACGATACTATGCTGGTTGGTATATTCTGGTAGACATACTGTCAGGAAGGTCAGATTCCTGAAAGTAACCCCAAAACGCCCGGAACCTACTGAGACCCTGAAACTCCACCAAAATCTCAATAGGAAAGCCGGCAAGCATCCAGGACAGCCAGTCAGTCAATTCAGCAAAAGTCGATGAGTCATCAGGCTCGCCACAGAAGCACAGCCGAAAGTGATCAGCTTTCAGGAGGAACACGATCGATGTTGATGGGTGTTCACTAACGCCTATAAGGCAGCCTGGATCAATGCCAGAAAGTGCTTTTTAAATAGCGCGAGGCCGTTGTAGCTTTTGCGCTCGCTTGTTGCAATAAAACTGTTGTGTTCTTTGTCGGCGAGTTCTTTTCTGGCACTAAGACACGAGTTACATGTTACAAATTTGCTACAGGGGTGGGGTAGATAGATATAACACACCACCTCAAATTTCTCCAAAGGGCTAATTCGAAGTGGCTCAGGTCGTACAACCTGGGAACGCCTTGATTGAATCACTTATCCTTGAACGATTTGCTCAGAGCGGTTTTAGGGGGCGAGATGGCCGAAGTGGTTAGAGCGCGGATTACTAACCTGAAGGTCCGCGGTTCGAATCCGACCTCCGCCACTCGACTTCCCCTGTCTAGGCTTGGGCAACCTGGCAGTATCCCAGCCCTCGTGCTTCCTTCGGGTGGCATGGCAGCTAGGCACCGGAAGGGTGCTACAGCTGAACGCTTTTTTGTCTTTGGTTTTACAAAGTGTGAAAGTGTCATGCCATCAGAATTAAATTAAGATCCTCTAGTTGGACTGGTTAGAGTCGCGCTTAAAAACGTCACCTTCCTGAGTGGAAACCTCCTGAAGGAACACAAGACCAAATACTGATACTGACAGAAACGGTCAAGTTACGCGAATGTGAGCGCATAATAACTCTATCGCCTCCGTACATGCCTCGATTAATCCAGCTTGAGTAAAACTGAAGGATCCGGCGTCAATAAATTCGGTAGGGCGTTGTCCCTCCACAGTAACTGTTTTCCTGTCATTATCGTTGACCATAAACCAACAGAACCAGGCTTCTATCTTCGCATGGGTTAACAGAATAGTGGGAGCCTTGTTGAACCCCAAAGTGATGTTCGGGTTTCGTGACGAGTTTACGGGTGGAATTCTTAGCCACTCGAATTTTTGGGTAAATTGGGCCGACTGGAGCTTGGTGTTTCACTGACAGCTGTGTGAAAAATCTGTTTTTTGGTCGTTTGGTTCAAGCTTGGAATTTGCCTTGATCGGAGAGATGTTTCTTTTTCGTTCGAGTGTCATTTCAAAAAAGTAGATTGCTTGCTATCCGAGTACCAACGGGCGGTTTTGAATTACCTCTACCGTGGAGTTATTGTTTTCACGGAGTTTCTCGCTGGACAGGGTTGATTGTGTATGGATAAATACTACAGTTAAAAGTCTTGTTGTTACTGAATTACCGTGTTGTTTTCAATGTCCAATATACTGACCAAGTTCTTGTTGCTACCAGCGTAGAGGATCAGTTTGTAGTGTGCGTCAAACTTGGCCACGTAGCCCTAAATTGAATGAGAAGGGACAAGAAAACATGCGTTAGACATAGTCCTCACATCTAAAGAATTATCTAACTGAACATCAAATGAGTACTTTGCTTCATGACAAACGCCTCATATCCGATTCCGCATACAAACAAATTACGTAGCCACGACTGAAGCGTATTCATCCTAAAAACTAGGCCGCCTCACAAAAAGTGTACGATATCATTTCATGCCAGGAACAACCTCCCGGAGGGAGCCACCTTACAGGATAGGTCATGTATTCTTCTTTTCGCAGCTTTACTTCATGAGCAGGATTAAATCGTTTGCTCGGTATCTTCTGAACGGCCCTTGTGATTGTCGAAGAAGGTATACCGCAAAGTTGCGTGCGACCAATTGCGGGTAATTCTACAATCAAGCAGTTTCGGTTACCTGCTATTCAGACGACTAGCGTGATCAAGATGTCCAGAGAGGTTTCCTCGAAAACATATTCTCTTCACGGGGCACTTCGCTGCAATGAATTCATTCACTAATCGGTGCGAGCTGGCCCGTCAGACCTTACGTGAGACAAAAATGAGCCTGTGCGGACACACGGTATCCAAGCCGAAAAGCATACACTGACAATTACATTTCAAATTGTGTCTTCGTTCTAAAATGCCGCAGAGCACCGCACTGTGATGATACGTCTTCAGAGCCGGTGGTTTGTAGGTTACCATCCCGTCAAGGTTTATCTTCAAGCACTTTCACAGAGCTTGGTTACTATCTCATCAATGTTTATCTTCAACCACTCACATAATTTGTTTAATACATGCACACTCACCATTTCACTTCTGTTTTGATTATGTCATGAACACTCGCCCCACGACTAACTGAGATTATTGGAAACTTATCCTAAGACAAACAACGCAAGCGCATCCTCATTCACAACGTAATCATATATATATATATATATCGTTTTGGATTAAACGACAAGAAACAGGCCAGATTTCAACACGCTCGGTCAAGACCCGCATTCCATACAACTGCGTCCTGCAAACCTTGGCATCATCCACTACAACTTATCAAACGATGAACTCGATAAGTCTCTTTCCTTTTTGTGTATTATTCAATTGTACTACTGTCTCTGGTAGCCACTACACACAGCTGTTTATTGTTAGTGTTACTCACCTTATGATATTGCTTCTAGTAAAAGACAATAGCACTAACAAATTTGGTGAGCCCGACGTGACACGAACACGCAACCTTCTTATCGAGTTCTTCGTCTGGTAAGTTGTAGTAGATGCAGCCGAGGTTTGTAGGACGCAGTTGAATTCCACAGATTTTTTCGGGCATTACTTATTCAAACGTGTCCGTTTTTCCGCGTTGTGCCTCTGACATTTCCGCCAATACTCTTGCTCAGGCTTTCGACGCCGGCGCACGTTTCGTGGCCTTCCAAGTAGTCAGGGTGATTTAGTGATCGAGATGCATATTCAATGTGATGTAATGGAACTTTTCAGTTGTTTAGTAATAGAAAATTTACCGCATCAAACAGGGAATGTGTACATGGAAGAAGCCTTTTTGCAAAAAGAGCAACCTAACTATAATAGTGTGAAAATCTCACGAAGATTCTATTCAGAAAGAGAAAACAAAACAAGGTGAACGAAGACCTGTGTCATTCGTAAAAAAAGTTTACCCGATAACAAAGAATTTTCTGGTTCTCTGGTGACAACAACCCGGAAAAACTTACAGGTACTGATACTCAATTTGTTCCGAGGCCCATAACGTAGATGAGTTTCATCCAGTGAGAACTTGTTTTATAGTAATCCTTTGTCCTCAAAATCATAGGTACCGACGAATCCAGGGCTTGGGCTCACCTTCATAAAGTCAACAACCCCCTAGAGGCGAGCAACGTCTCCTAAACATCTGTGGCATTAAACTCTTGAAGTTCATATAAATAATGAGTGATGCCCCAGGAAAATCAAAGGGAAATTATGTGGAATGGAACTTATCCAGTGAGAGCTATACCTCTGTGGACCTAATCCATCAACACGGAACAAAAGATAAAGGAACAGACTGCGGATATATTGAAACACTAATTTGACACAATTGGTACGCCGCACCACCATGAACAAAATTCATTGTAGGAGTCTTCCCCAAAAAATACAGCGACCATCGTTGAAAGCTATGCCCACTGAAATGCTGCTCTTAGCAGTTTGGATGTGTGGGCCCTTGGAAGTCATTTTCTGATTTCCTCTTTTGGCCATAACAGGCCATTCTCTATGAGTCTTCAATATGGTTGGAGGTCGAGCTCACTCACATTGCTGTCCTCTTCCTTTCGCAAAACCCCAAGATGCTTATCGCACTCATCACTCGGAATCGTTATTAATTCGGCGGGTGACCGGTCATCAAAATAGTTAGTTGTCTATTGGGTTGAACACTGACATTGCTCTTCAAGTAACCGGACTCACCCGAGTGACCTGTTTAAGCGGTTCATATACAAAACGAGACAACGGTCGCTTGTACGACATATTTTCGCGCTCCGTAATTTCTCTTTCACCTTCGATGAGGAAGTTGGGAAACGGCCATAGCTAATGTTCAAAGTATGGTTACAAAAAACTGGCGTAATAATCCATTTTACCTGAACCAGTGAGTTTTCTCGCCTCCACGAACAGGTTAAGATGATATTTTTTGTTGGATCTATATCTAGACCGTCGTTTCCCGCCACATATGTACCATAAATTTGCCTAGAATAGCAGATAAACCTCTATGAAAAGCCCACTCACCACAGTGAACTTCCTTGCTGATCATGCCAAACCTGAATACTGTCATCCCAGCTTGCTGAGATGAAAATCGGTAGATAGCGGCGATCCTCTTTGCCTCGTGGGTGATATGCCAAGGCTGTAATACGGCTTGTGTGCCCCAGGGACTCGAATGAGTGGATTCTGTGTTTAGAAAATAACGGTTTAAGTTGAATAGCCGACCGCACTTTGGCCGCAAGAGACGACATTCATTGCTCCATCCTTTCTCATATACACGTATGTATGCATCTTTACCACCAGTAATGAAACGTCTGTTGTCAAAAGAGATGGAGAGGCACAAAATGTGATTCGCATCCTGTTTACCACGGTCATCGTTTTCGTCATCTCGAAACACATATTCTTTCCAAATAGTTTTGAGTGCGGTTCTGCTTGATGGCAAAGTGTAGTTCCATAGTCGGACAAAGCCCGAAGCATCTTCACGAAAGAATTACGGACAAACTGATGGTCATAAACCTACATGAACACAGAATACACTGCATCTCACTCGATGTGGCTGACGGTATATTGTGGAAGAATCTAATGTCAGTACACGGCAGAGTTTCTCCAGGGTCTTTGAGCCTAACTGTTAATCCGGTTTTCCTTGTACCATTCAAGTGAAAAAGCTACAAGTAAATTATACGAAGTCATCTAATCGTAAACTTACACGGATATCTCCATTAGCTAATCCGACGGCACAGAACGAGTAGTCTGGTGAAGGGCGGACAACCATTGCCTCCGACTCCAGGGATCTTGATCAGCTATCGGATATCGACCTAGTAAATCTTACTGCGTCGTATCCAATCGAGCCGTTTCGCAGGTGTGCCAGTCATCGTTCAGTGGCATAAATTCACGATCTCCCTCTTTATATTTTTCCGCTTTGGGAAATTCATTGGTAACATCGTTATCGTCAGCAATTTCTTCCTCCGACAGCGGAAATGTTGAAGTATTTGAAGACTCATCGCCCGAATTCATATGGAGAGCTGTAGGTAGAAACCAGCTACCGTCATGAAAACCATCAGTGCATTCAGTGCATTTCCCCCATGGTAGATACACGGTTTCAAAAAATCGAGGTTATATCTGAACGGTAGTTTCGCCGAACAAAGACTATTGGCAGAGATAGTCTAACTGGTCTTAGTTGGGGGTAAAGTCTCCTTTAGAAAAGTCTTATCTATCGACCGGTGATTTGCATTTCCCGCTGAGTTTCAAAAACCGAAAATGGATATTCTCAGACTCAATGAGAAGGACTTGAGGTATATTGGGCTGTCAAACGGCTCCGTAAGTATCTTTTTGGATCAAACTTTACCACTGCTACCGATCACGAGGTTTTACAGCTCTTGTATCCTCCAAAAAAATCTCTGGCGAAGTCATCTGCCGCTATGGTGCGACGGTGGATTATTGCACTGAGGTTGTACACCTACACAATTGTTTATCGTAGTGCAAAAATGATTCCCCATGCAGATTTCTTGTCGAGAATTCCATCATGCGACTCTGACTCAAACAATTCTGATTGTCTGTTGATTCAACCATTACCAATCAAACGGGATGCACTTGTTGCTGATACTAGAAGATATTTTGCTCCCATTTTTCTACACTGCGACGTGGCCGGACGCAGCAAGAACGACGCCGATTTCCTGCTTTTTACTTTCGCATAGAAATTTTTTTTACATTATTCCGGATGATTTGTTGTGCTTTGAAGCCATCATTCCACCAACTCAGCAAATGACTGTTCTGGCAGGTTTACACTGGTCATCTGGGTGTTGATAAAATGAAACCTCTTGCACGCTTGTCGTGCTGGTGGCGGGAACTGGATGCTGACATCAAGTATACTGCTAAGAATTGTAGTAAATGTGCACATAAGACTCATAACAAGTCTTCACAGTGGTATCCGTGGCCAGGTACTTGTGAAACATTTCAGAGAGTTTATGCTGACCACTGTGGTGCTTTTCTCGGCAAACACTATGCTTTAATTATTATTGACGCATTTTCACGTAGGCCTGAAGTTTTTCTCACTACGTCTCCAAGTGCCGACTTCACACAACAAGCATTGAGGAAAGTATTCAGCCATGAAGGTGTATCAATTGCTTTGGGTACTGACAACGGTACGCATTTCACTGCAAAATTCCTCGGGAAATGGCTAAAGGGTCTTAGATGTCGATATCTGTTTACTGCTCCTTGACATCCCAGTCGAATGGGCTTGCTGAGAATTTTGTCCGAACACTGAAATCTGCCATTACTTCATCCTCCTGCTTCTTTTGTGGAACTGGACCGTGAGATTAATAATTTTCTATTGCAATGAAGGGACGCCGTTCATTACGTTGCTGGGATGATTCCCGCGTTTCTATTTAAATCTCGCTCGTTGCGCACAAGCCTTGACTGTGCCAAAACGGCTGATGTTACGTTTCTCAAGGGCAACGATCTACGACCTGCTACAGGAAGAATATTTTCATCAAGTGGCAAACGGACGGTCACAATTCTCAATTTGGATGATCCCTGTTGTCATCGGAAACACATTGAGCAGGTTGAGTTTAATACCAGAGGTCAGTCTGTTAACGGCACTCTTGTTGTTTCAAATACTAATGAATCCTTTGTGGATGATCTTATGGTATCCGAACAAAACGTTATATCTGAAGAACATATTACCTGCGAAGAACCTGAAGTTTCTGAACCGAGAAGATCTGAAAGATTACGATCAAGACCACCAATGGACTATAAACATCTACACGCTCATTTCAGGTGTGGCGGATGTTATGAATATGATTGAAACTCCGTTAATTATTCTCTTGTTTTAATATTCCAAATGCTGTACATATACGTAAATTCCAATACATACGTGCTGGACTTTATTACTACAGAGTTACACTCCGTTCCAGAGCTCAACGCGCTCTTCTGGATTGGATCCCAATGAGCAGTGGTCTCTGTGCCGTTCGGTTATCCAGGTCGATGCTTCGATATATAAAGCGGTGGCTGTTTGTATCATTGGCGTACGCCCAAACGGACAGCCGTTCTGATGTTGAGAAGTATACTTTCTATCGGGAGTTATCCGCGTGATGATTTGTCGAAAAAAAGTAACGACACTGTGATCCTTGCGGGCGATATTAACGCCAAAGTCGGTCGTCTGGGCTCCTTGGGATCATAACTGGGCCGTCTATTCGAGGTTGATGCTCAACCAGGAGTGACTCCTGCAGTTGTGTACTGATCATCAACTGTTTCTGGCCAGCACGGACTCTCAACATAAACGCTTCCATCGCGTAGCTTGGTGGCCACCAAATACAAATCAACCATGAACCCAATTGGATCACGTGGCCACCAGTCGCCCGTAGAGCCCAAACTGAAAACTGTCACCCCTCTCGGGGTACAAAGCTTGAATCCGATTACGCCCTCTAAGTCGGCAAGAAGCAAGACAATCCGCTATCTCTGGAGAGTTGCTATCCATCTGAGCTAGCACAACTACTCTCCATAGCAAAGCAACAGTGTGCTGGTAGCGAACACATGAACGAAGTACGACGACATGCAAACGTAGCTATCCTAGCGGTGTTCAGTAATGTCAAACTGGTTTCTCCGATATGATCAAATAAGCACTGGATGTCATCAAGATCGCTAGTCCTGATCCATTCCACCAGGTCACGAGTACAACGACGCGAGCAAGGCCCCAAAACACCAAAAAGTGAAGAGTCCAAGGAAAGACCTAGAGTGCTGTTGGACATTAAATGCCCAGGAGATGGGAAAGACTTGCTGCCAGGAAAAAGGTGTGCCATAGATACGATCATACGGTCGGTTAAACGATAAATGAAAAACGGCTCATCAACTCACTCGCAAAAGCGCCGACTAGAAAGACGGGTCAAGCACTTCGAAGAGCTGGCTAGCCTCTCCACAATGCAGCCCCTAGATACGGGGCACAACGGTGAATGAAATGTAAGCATTAATCAAAGAATAAATAAAGTGAGAAATATGCCTGCTGAAACGTGAGAAGGCACCAGGATTGAACGGCCTGTATCCAGCTATCTTCAAAAATGGTCACGCATTCGACAGATATTGTTGGCTCGATATTGAGTGAAGAGAAATTGACTGTAGAATGGGGCACCTCGACAGTTATTCGTGTCCACAAAAATGGTAAGAGAACGTTATGTGAGAACCACTTGACATCAGCCCAGTGGGTGTGGCATCGGATGGCGTTGATCGGATGCTGTCATGATGTAATCAATAGTAAATAATCTAAATAACTCCTACTCACTTTGGCGTGCAATCAATCAATTCAATTTACCAACTATAAACCGTGTGCCAGGGGCACGTTTGTTTCAGCTGCTACAGTTTCGATCACCAGAAAGCAGGAAAGAGGAATATACAACCAAGCCTTGGAGACGAAGGCCTTTTCAGTTTGTGCGCCGTACTCTTGCGAAGTGCAGAGTGCTGCTTAGAGACTGGATGGGTTCAGACCTGAACCTAATGCAAGCGGAAGAATTGATCTAAGTAATAGACAAATTCGTCTACCTAGGCATCTCTACCAGTCCCGGTGGTCTAGCGGAATATGATATTCCCATCCGGACTGAGAAGGCCAGAGAAGCTTTTGTGAACCTCAGTGACCCGTGGCGTAGACGTGTTATCAGTTTGGCTGTCAAGGGTCGAGTTTACAATGCTGTGCTGCGCCCCACATTACTACATGGGTCAGAAACCTGACTGCCTTGAGCTGAGGACGCCGAAAGCTCCCGATTTTCGACTGTCTATGTATTCAGAGCTTTGCCCGAGTCTGGTGTGAACATCGGATCAGCAATACCGAAATACATCCATATTCGGAAGAAATAACTCGCCGACAATAGATGAACTGACTAAATTTCATAAGTTCCGCCAGCTTGGTAATGTGCCCCGTATGCCAGCCACCAAATTCCTCGAGGGGGTCTTGCTGATTGGTTCTCCATCTGCTTTAAAAACTGACCAAATTGGTGACCTGTTCACTTGGCCTGATGAAGTTTTCGTTTCAAAAGCGAAATGTTGCCCAAATAAAAACTACCGATTGTTTACCAAGCCCTTCGGAAAAGATCCTCGAAGGGCTCTTTTTGCACAACCAAGTGAAAGGGAGTGCTCGCCAGGGAGTGGCGAGCAGCGAAGTACGAAACCCGGTGCCAGCAAAGGCAGCTGCATTGGTCATTGCCTTCTCCTTGGTGATGTATCCACAAGATAGGAGAAACATCAATGGTTAGAGATTGTCAGTTCACTCGGAGGAATAGACCCGAACTACTACCCTCAGTGAATAGCTTTCCATCCCAATCTCCCAGTCAAAACTCTATTGACACTCCTATATTCACACATCGGTTATGTCAGCTTCCGTCTTTAATGCGGAAGCATCGGCGAACAAAAGTGTGATAGCTATAACCACTGCACAGCAGGTATGCGGTTTTAGAGACCGGTGCTTCTGTCGCTGCTGATAATGATAACGTGTATCCAGCGTGAATTCCGGATTTGTAAAGAAGGTTTCGGCATAGCAAACTGGCATTATTTGCACTGCAACAGTTGTGTGCTGTGGAAATTCATTGATTCTTCAGAAATTGGCAATGTGGATCATTATGCATACTAATGCAATTGAAGTAAGGATTGCCACTACCATCTGTCAAACCCACCTGATTATCTGCCACGCTACAGTAACGCACGCTTGTGGAAACATTTTCGTGGGGATCGAAGATGGAGTTTCCTCAATGAAAACTGTTCCTCTAAAAAGGTGAATAGTAGGAACCGTATCCTATGGTACCTGCACTGGAATATTGTTCAAAGCCGGGAGGATTTCAACGGCTTATGTCAGGGCGGAATCGAAGTTTCTACTTTATCTTATGCGACTGCTCCAGACCAGTAATACGGCTCCATTTAACTGATTCACACACACCAGCACAAAATGGCAAATTTGAATAATGGTTGCCAACCTTCGTCATCTCATCATCCTGATCAGATTCAAGGTTTATTCAAGGTTTAATGGTCTAAAAAGC